TTTCTAGGATTTTCTTTTAGTCATCTTAGAATCGATGTATAGGATTTTTTTTTTACATGGACTTTTAGTGCAAATGTTTAGGCGTGCTTTTTGTTATTTAGCGGATGTATAGGGATTTCTTTTCACAAATTTTGATGTAATTAGTGAAATTCCCTCTTTTGTATGTTGAATGGAACGTGACATGGGCATTTTAATCAATCACTATGTGTTACTCCATTTTAATTGTATAATTTCTTATAATGAAATTTTTTTAAGAAACTATTTACACGAGGTGCGGCTTGTGCAAAAGGTTTCTTATTTCAGTTTCATCATAAGAAAATATAAAATTAAAAGGTGTGCAATTTCCGTTCTGTTGCTTCACCGCATACTAATTTCGACCTTGTTTTATTTTACGAAAAAACAGGTCTCGAAACTACGGCTTCGTGGCGATCGCCCATTCATACACGTTCGAGAGTAGTAAGGATGAACATTGAGGAACAAAACGCCGGTTTCACCGCTCTCGACAACAAGATCAATGATCTTGCGGCTCAGCTCACTCAGTTCACTAATGATATGAGGGTCGCGTTGGCAGCACCAAATGCTAGTCAAGCCGCACCTCAAGCTGTCCCCGAGCCCATAGAAGGGCCTGCGAGAAGGAATGTTGTTGAGGAGGCATTGGGTTCTACACCCGTAGTAGTCGAACTAGACTCTATTTCGGAAGCCGTCACGGCCCGTTTGGAGGAAGAGCATAACAAGAGGTTCGCAAAGAGAGAAGAAAAACTCCGTGCGCTACGGGGATATAAAGAGCACATGATCGAGGATCTATCTCGATATGCACAAATGAGCTTTTCTGAGAAGTTCAAGATTCCCGACTTTACTAAGTATGATGGGACCGGAGACCCAAAGATCCACTTTTAGTACTATTTGAACTGAATGGCGAGATATGCCCAGAATGTCCCATTAATGATTCAGACTTTTAAAGAGAGTTTGACAGGGCCTACTTGGCAATGGTATGTGTTGTCGGAGCCCGAGAAGTTTGAGAAGTGGGAGGAGTTGTCTGAAGTGTTTGTCCTGCAATACAAATACAACACCGAGATAGCTCCCACACGTGAAGTGTTGACTCGAACTGAAAAGAAAAGAAGTGAGTCCTTAAGAGCTTTTGCTCAAAGATGGCGTACTCTCGCCGCTCAAGTTCGTCCTCCGCTCGATGAAAAAGAGCTATCGGATCTCTTCCTCAAGGCCTTACCTAATGATTTCTATTTGAAGTTGGTGGGTTCTGGATGCCTGATCTTCTCTCAGTTGGTAGATGTCGGAGAAAAGGTAGAGGGAGCCATGTATGATGGTATATTGAATGAAGGGACTAGCCGGAAGATCCCAAATAGAAAAGAAAAGGATGTGGAGATTGCATATGTACAAGCGTCGGTTATGACAAGGCCCCCTGCCTCATCCTCTCAAGGCCCATATGTGTTCCGAGAAAGGGCATATTAGAGTTATGAATTCAAAAAGAAGGCACCGAGGCAATTCACTCCCCTGCCTTGACCTCTATCCAAGTTGTTGCCCATGCTGTTGAGAAGGGGAATGATAGCCAAGGAAGTACCTCGGGATAATCCTCCAAAATTTTCCGGATTCAACTTGTCGAAGTCCTATGAGTTCCATAGAGGCGAGAAGGGTCATGATCTAGATAACTACTTTACTCTCAAGAACAAAGTTCAGAATTTACTCGACAAGGGCATTTTATCCTTCAAGGATCCACCCCCTAATATCAAACAAAATCCGTTACCTAATCATGCTGAGAATGTCAACGTGGTTATGGAGAAGGGTAACGAGAGTAAGCAAACCTTTAGGGTGGACGTTCATAAACTGTATGAGTTATTAGTGTTAACACGACACTTTGAAGAGGAGGAGGATATTCCGATGGAAGATAAGTTGAAATATCTCACTCGGATGGTAGACATTGGCATAATCTATAGTATGAAGGAGGATGTTACGATGACCCTGGTAGCCGTTATAGACTCATTTTGTGAGATCAAGAAGGGGTTGGAGGAGACAGCTGTTGAGCTTACGAAGACTAATGAACTGACCAATGATGACACGTCAGAGAATTTAATTGTGACCGACAGTGAAGGAGATAATTCATATGATGATTACGAGCCGCAAACTAGAAATGTTGATTGGAACCATGAATTCATGAATATCGCCCGCAAGAATGGGGAAGTGGTTGACACACTGGATCAACCTAGTGGCAAATTCAACTATTTTGTAAAGTATTCACCCCCACCGAGTTTTTTCATCGATCCCAAAGATGTTGTTCCTGATGGATAGGGAGATATGGACGACCCACTTGAGCCCGAGGAGGAGATAGTCAACATGATCACCCCCGTGGTCATTGACCTGTCGGTCGAAGAAGATCTATCAGACCCCGATGAACAAGATGTTGAGCATGTAGTCATTGACCTTACGTCTGAAGAGTTTGCTACTCTAGAAATCGAGGATTATGCCATGGAACCGATGGTGATTGACCTCCTACTCGAGGACAAAGAAGACATAATAGTAGAGATGGCCTCTAGTTACGATACTAAGGCGGTCTCTTGGAGTTACAAGGTGAATGAAATCGATGCTGTCACTCGCTCTGGTCGATATTACGATCCCACTAAGGTGGTTGAGAAAAGGGCTGTTTCAAATGAAGAGGCCGAGCAGCTTTTAGCAATTGTTAAGACTAACGAGTTTGATGTTGTCAATCAGTTGAGGAAGATACCAACCCAGATATTACTTCTGGATATTTTCAAATCCCTCGAGAGACATCAAAATGCACTACTCAAGGTTCTAAATGAAGTGCACGTTCCCGAAACTATCAATGACACCCAATTGGAGGAGTTTATTGGGTCCATCTTGCTGAAAGATCAGATTTCTTTTGCCGATGAAGGTTTTCCTCCGGAAGGTCGTAATCATACTACGTCGCTACTTATTTCGGTTGAGTGTCGTGATAAGATGGTGGCGAGAGTGCTAATTGACAATGAGTCTGCATTAAACATTTGCCTACTCGCCACCCGTTGCCGTTTGGGAGTAAATGAAAACAAAATTTTGGCATCTAAATCTATCGTTTGTGCTTTCAATGGTATGAAGGAAGTTATTGGCGAAGTCGAGCTTGAACTTTTGATTAGTCCAGTCCTCTTTCTGGTCAACTTTCAAGTTTTGGATATTCCAAGTGCCTTCAATTTTTTATTGGGGTGACCTTGGATACACACCGCCGGAGCCGTGCCCTCGAGCTTGCATCAAAAGGTCAAGTTCATCAAAAGTCCTCTTTTCTTTCCTGTTTCGTCTGATTTGAGTCTATGTTTATCCCTTGCATAGGAAGTCTATTTAGGTCTAGCTATTACTTTCCTTGTAATCAAAATCTTGGATTGCGAACCGTCAGTCCAAGACCTCGAGTCATGTAAACGGCCTTATCCCATTAATAGAATCATGATCATGTTTTTATTAAGGACGTGTGGAAGTACCCAAACCAGTTTGATGATGATGCTTTGATTCTTGGACTTCTACACGCTTCTTAGTTTCCAAAATCCTTGGTGGATAGGGACGTCCAAGGATATGAGGGCGGATCCCTCATTTTCTATGTTGAAAACTCTTTCAAAATGATTTCAAAATATATGTATATCATCTCAGGCATAACATTTTCATATAATCATGACAGGTGCATATGTGAGTCGGATTTGCTCTATGGAAATTCCAAAAGATGACTTCTCGCTGCCTCACATTGATGTGTTGGTCGACAGTACCGCGGGGTTTGAGTTATTCTCCTTTATGGATGGATTTTTTGGTTACAATCAAATTTGGATGAAAGAAGAAGATAAATTATTACCCCATGAGGGACCTTTTGTTACAAGGTAATGCCTTTTGGCTTGAAAAATGCCGGGGTAACGTACCAAAGAGCAATGGTCACTCTGTTCCACGACATGATGCATAAGGAAGTGGAGGTTTACGTAGACGACATGATTGCCAAATCCAAACATGGAGAGGATCACATTGAGGTGGTGCAGAAATTGTTTGACCGACTCCGAAAGTTAAAGCTGAGACTTAACCCCGCCAAATGTGTGTTTGGGGCAAAGTCTGGGAAACTATTAGGGTTCATGGTCAGTAGTCGAGGCATTGAAATTGACCCGTCAAAGGCTAAGGCTATTTGTGATTTGAAACCTCCTTCAACTATCAAAGAGGTTCGGAGTTTGCTAGGAAGACTAAACTATGTGGCTAGATTCATTTCTCAATTGTCTAAGACGGCTAAACCATTCTTCAAGTTCTTGAAGAAGAACGCCAAAGTTGAGTGGGATACCGATTGTCAAAAGGCCTTTGAGGAAATAAAACAATATCTTTTCCATCCACTGGTTCTGGTGCCACCTGTTCCTAGAGTGCCATTGATACTCTGTTTGACTATTCATGATGAGTCGTTGGGAGCCTTGCTAGCTCAGAAGAGACCAGGTGATGACAAAAAATGTGCGATATATTATCTCAGTAAAAAGTTTACTTCCTCCGAAATGAATTACCCCGGAATTGAGAAAACGTGTGTCACCTTAGTGTGGGTGTTGCACTGCTTACGTCAATACACACTCTATCATCGGATTCTGCATGTAACTGAGAATGATCCCATCAAATACTTGCTGGAAAAATCCGCGTTGGTCGGAAAGTTAGCAAAATGGCAGGTTCTGGTGTCCGAATTCGATGTCCACAGCATGGCGCAGAAATCCGTCAAGGGAAGAGCCATAGCTGACATGTTGACAGAAAACTTCGAAAGGTCGGAAGACCATGATCAGTCAGATCCCATAGAGGAGCGCATTTCAGAAATAGTAAGTGATAAGTGGACTATGTACTTCGATGGTGCTGTTAACCTGATTGGTTCTGGGACTAGGGCAGTTCTTATATCCCCAACGGATCAACACCATCGTGTAGCCTCCAAATTGGTATTCCCTTGTACCAACAATATCTCATAATATGAAGCTTGCATACTTTGATTGCAATTGGCTGTCGACATGAAAGTTAGGAAGCTGCAAGTCTATGACGATTCCGCCCTCATCATTTTTCATACAGAGGGTCAATGGCGAACCCGTGACTCCAAATTGATCCCTTACCATGAATTCCTTGAGGAATTAATAAAGGAATTTGAGGAGATTTCTCTTGAGTATTTACCTCGATCGCAGAATCAGTTCGCCGACGTCTTGGCCACATTGTCATCAATGCTACAAGTTATAGACGGGTTAGACATCGAGCCACTAAAAATTGAAATTTTAAGACGTCTGGCTTACTGTTCGGCAATCGCAGACGAACCTGATGAGAAGCCATGGTATTATGATATCATGAACTATCTTCAAAAGGGTGAATACCCTCATGGAAGTGAACTAGCGAATCAGAAATACATAAGGAAGCTAGCATCAAAATTCTTCATAAGTAGCAATGCTCTTTATAAGAGGTCTTTTGACTCAATTTTGTTGAAATGCGTGGATGCTAGAAAAGCTAATCAGTTGATGAGAGAAATACATGAAGGGGAATGTGGTCCGAACATGAATGGCTATCTTTTGGCCAAAAAAATTATGAGACTGGGTTACTTCTGGATGGCTATGGAGGCTGACTGTATCTGGCATGTTCATTATTATCATCGGTGCCAGATTTATGTAGATAAAATCAACGTACCGCCGAACGAATTGCGTCAAATGTCTTAGCAATGGCCCTTCTCAATGTGGGGGATCGACATGATTGGGCCAATTAATCCTAAGGCCTCCAATGGACATCACTTCATCTTGGTGGCCATTGATTATTTCACCAAGCGGATCAAGGCAAATTCATATGTCAATGTCACTGCCAAGAATGTGGCCAAGTTTATTCGCCATAACATCATCGCTCGCTATGGAGTCCCATAGGCGATCATTACTGATAATGGCTCAAATCTAAACAACAAGATTGTGGATAACTTGCTCGACGAATTTCATATTCGTCACCTGCATACCTCACCTTACCGCCCGCAAATGAATGGAGGTGTGGAAGCAGCTAATAAGAACATAAAGAAGATCCTGTCAAAGACTGCCAACAATTATCGAAACTGGCATGAACGGTTGCCTTATGCATTGATGGCATACCGAACTTCGATTCGCACTTCGACAGGGGCGACTCCTTTCTCGCTCGTTTATGGTATGGAAGCGATCTTGGCCATCGAAGTCGAAATCCCTTCATTAAGGATTCTCTCTCAAGTTGAGCTCTCTGAGGAAGAATGGATTCAACAGAGATGTGATCAGTTGAACATGATCAATGAGAAAAGACTAAAGGCTTTATGCCATGGTTAGTACTACCAAAAGCAAGTTGCAAAGTCCTTCAATCGCAAAGTCCAGCCTCGGCATTTCGAAGCCGGAGATCTTGTGCTAAGGAAAGTATTGTCCCTCACACCAAAATTAGGTGGGAAGTTCGCCTCTAATTATGAGGGTCCGTAAGTTATTAGAAAGGTGTTACTTGGAGATGCCTTAATTCTTGTAGAAATGGATGGCCAAGAGTTGCCAAAGCCTGTAAATGCCGATTCAGCGAAAAAGTATTTTCCTTGAATGAAATCCAAGGCCCGAGAGCCATTTTCGATGCAATCTGAGCTACTGTAGGTTATTCACATCATGCATATCATGCATACATGCACACATGTTTCTTTTGTAGGTTCCAAAAGACCCGCACATTGACCCACAAACGACTAGATAGTCTTGGCAAGCATCCAGCAAGCCAAATGCGAAAATGGGGTAATAATATATCGTTCTGATCTCGCACTCCTCAAATGATTCCTACTCCTTACTCCTTTGTCCTTCGTAGGGCTACCAAGTCATTGTGCTGCAGGTAAGTACCCTTTTTTTAATGCCAAAAGAAAATCAAATGGAAAATTTTCTTTGCAAAAAAAAAAGAAAAAAAAAGGGCAAAGTAAAAAAAAAAGGGTTTTTGACCGGTTTGAGAAAAACCAGCATAAAGTGCAAATTATGAAACAAACTTTTCACAAAAATTTTGAATATCGTCCTTATCCTAAAATTGGGGAGAAGAACAGCAGAAGTGCCAAAACTTGTGTATGGCGCTCATTTTAGTACTAAAAGTTTTTTTTGGATCACTTCAGTGCCAAATTTTTTTAAAAACGATCACTTAAGTGCCAACTCCGGTCAGTTTGGCCGAAAATCCGACGTGACCTTTTTTTATTAATTTTTGAAGCTGATGTGGCTTGCCAAAGATTTAGTCAACATGTACACATCAAAACGACGTAGTTTAGCATGTACACTTGAATTTTTTAAATATTTGAATTTTTTTCCTTTTTTTCTTTTTTTCTTCTCTTCTTCTTTTTCTACCTCCGGTCACTGTCGGTGACCGGAGGCTGGCCACTGGCCATGGCCAGCCGCCTGGCCTTGCCCGGACGAGGCCACCGTCGCCCGCCACAGGTGAGGTCTGGCCGACCCTCGCCAGGGCGAGGGCGGGCGAACTCCCACGAGGGTCGGCCTCGCCTTGCCGGGGCTAGGGTGAGCCCCGGCGAAGGCTCCCTTCGCCACATCCGGTGAGGCCGGCTGTCACCTAGACCACGGCAGCCTCGCCAAGCGTCACCCGGGGGAAGGCAAAGCCCGGCGAGGCCGTCGTGGTCTGGGTGACGGCCGGCCTCGCCGGATCTGGTGAGGGCAGCCCTCTCCAGGGCTGGCCCTCGCCTAGGCGAGGCAAGGCCAACCCTCGCCAGATCTGGCGAGGCCGACCGACGCCGCGGCCACGGCGGCCTTACGGGGCATCGCCTTCCCCCGTGCGATGGCCGGCCTCGCTGGATCTGGCAAGGGTCGGCCTCGCCTCGCCTCGCCAATCCGGCGAGGTCGCTGTGGCCTCACCGAGGCTCACCCTCGCCTAGGCGAGGCGAGGCCGAACCTCACCAGATCCGGCCAACGCCGTGGCCATAGCGGCCTCGCGGGGCGTCGCTTTCCCCCCGGCGACGGTTGGCCTCGCCGTTGGCCGGATCTGGCGAGGGTCGGCCTCGCCTCGCCTTGGCAAGGGGAGCCCCGGCGAGGCGTAGGCCGACCTCGCAGATCCGGCGAGGCCAGCCGTCCCCAGGGGGAAAGCGACGTCCCGCGAGACCGCCGTGGCCACGGCGACGGCGGGCCTCGCCGGATCTGGCGAGGGTCGGCCTCGCCTCGCCAGTCCGGTGAGGCCGCCGTGGGTGGCCCTCACCCAGGCGAGGCGAAGCGAGGTCAACCCTCGCCGGGGCTCAACCGCCCTCGCCCAACTGAGGATCGGCCATGCCTCTCCTGTGGCGGGCAACGGCGGCCTTGTCTGGGTGAGGCCAGGCGGCGCTGCCTTGGCCAGCCTCCGGCCACCGGCGGTGACCGAAGGAAGAAGAAGAAGAAAGAGAATAAAAAAAGAAAAAAAGGAAAAAAAATCAGAAAAAATATTTAAAAAATCTAAATGTACACATGGAAATGCCATGTAGATTTTTTTTATAGACTCAGCCAACATGTAGCTTTTGACGATGTTTGATTTATATTTTGTGACATATTTTACATTGGTGAAAACATTATTTATGTAATCCAATAACAGTGCCAAAGTCTAATAGTTTCGAGTTCATCTCGTCATCCAATAGCACATGCTCGCTTTCAAATCTCGATGGATGGTCTTGAGCCGAGAATCCTCGTGTAGATACAGAAGGCCCCTCGCCATTCCCTTGATAATGTGCACACGCTTTGTCCGGTCTAATTCCCTCCTTTTCACCAGATCTGCCTTAGGAAAATTGGAAAATTTTTTGGTATGCAGTGAGCAATGATTCATACAGAACATAATAGCTAAACAAATGGATAGATAGAGGTAAGAGACTCAACCAAATAGTAAGGCATCGAGACTACGGCTCGCCAGGTATTAGTATACGAGAAGCTTTTCGCCTCCCTCTAAGCAGCAGCCCAACGGCCTCACTAGATTTCGGTGTCGAAGCTTAACAATGAACATCACTTCATTCTTGAACTCTTCAATGCCTTGGCTCGATCTCATCCAAAGCCTTTTGATTGCAATTTCTTTCCCATCAAGTAGCTTACCCTGCATTCAGTACTCATGTTCCCTAATAAGGCTGTTAGGGAGAGGAAATTATAGACGACGATGTCATGCGACATGAAAGTAGACCTTAGTATGAATTTCGTCAGTCCATCATGGAATGTAAGTTTTTTGACCTTGTAGACTGGCCCGAAACTCCATTCTCCGAGCTTATTAGCATCGGCGAACTTGTTTGTGGCGGATACTATGGTAGGTAGGTCAAAATAGTGCACCTCACCGCTTTTGTTTTGGAATCCATTGTGTGCTCTTCTCTCCTTCAAGCTCGTTCTGTGCACAGAATCCTCCATGCTTCGTAAAAGTATTTCTTCAAAGAATTTCGCATCCAAGCAGTGCGGCATGCACTCGTCGTACCATATGATCGTTACACGGTTGGACGGGCATTGATTGGGGAGCGTTTGAGTCGCGTGCCTATAGCGTGCAGGCTCATGCACACCTAATACATCCGCCCATGCGAAGGTAGAGTGTGTGCATGGCACTCGCGACATGAAATTCCTATATGTCCTTGGCCGCTGAATTACTGTTTTGCCCTTGGCCATGTTAATTTCCTGTTTTGCCCTATCATGCAATTTAGTGAATGTTTTGTGCAGGAAATTAAATGTCTAGTGATTTATATATAATTTTTTTAATTAGAGATTGTGATTAGCTACAACATCTTTGATTATCTTAAATTATATATACTAAGAACCTTTGGATCATATATTGAAAATAGACATTGACCGTAATTAACCATATTAATATAATAAAAATTCTTGTGGGAAAAAGATTTATTATTTTGATACGATTAATTAGGATGAAATGACATATAATTTTTCTTAATTTACCCATAGAGATTAAGAAAACGGAATATAATGCGAAAGTTTTTTTATAAAGTAATTATGAATCTATTTAAATTAGAGACTCGGCCAACATGCAGCTTTTGACGTTGTTTGATTTATATTTTGTGACATATTTTACATTGGTGAAAACATGATTTATGTAATCCAATAGCAGTGCCAAAGTCTGATATTTTCGAGTTCATCTCGTCATCCACATGCTCGCTTTCAAATCTCGATGGATGGTCTTGAGCCGAGAATCCTCGTGCAGATATAGAAGGCCCCTCGCCATTCCCTTGATAATGTGCACACGCTTTGTCCGGTCTAATTCCCTCCTTTACACCAGATCTGCCTTAGGAAAATTGGAAAATTTTTTGGTATACAGTGAGCAATGATTCATAGAGAACATAATAGCTAAACAAATGGATAGATAGAGGTAAGAGACTGAACCAAAGAGGAAGGCATCGAGACTACGGTTCGCCAGGTATTCGTATACGAGAAGCTTTTCGCCTCCCTCTAAGCAGCAGCCCAACGGCCTCACTAGATTTCGGTGTCGAAGCTTAAGAATGAACATCACTTCATTCTTGAACTCTTCAATGCCTTGGCTCGATCTCATCCAAAGCCTTTTGATTGCAATTTCTTTCCCATCAAGTAGCTTACCCTGCATTCAGTACTCATGTTCCCCAATAAGGCTGTTAGGGAGAGGAAATTATAGACGACGATGTCACGCGACATGAAAGTAGACCTTAGTATGAATTTCGTCAGTCCATCATGGAATGTAAGTTTTTTGACCTTGTAGACTGGCCCGAAACTCCCTTCTCCGAGCTTATTAGCATCGGCGAACTTGTTTGTAGCGGATACTATGGTAGGTAGGTCAAAATAGTGCACCTCACCGCTTTCATTTTGGAATCCATTGTGTGCTCTTCTCTCCTTCAAGCTCGTCCTGTGCACAGAATCCTCCATGCTTCGTAAAAGTATTTCTTCAAAGAAGTTCACATCCAAGTAGTGCGGCATGCACTCGTCATACCATATGATCGTTTCCCGGTTGGACGGACATTGATTGGGGAGCGTTTGAGTCGCGTGCCTATAGCGTGCAGGCTCGTGTACATAGCGTGCAGGCTCATGCACACCTAATACATCAGCCCGTGCGAAGGTTGAGTGTGTGCATGGCACTCGCGACCTTCCCGAAGCGGCCCCGAGGCCTACGGGGTTTGGCTAATGGATTACTAAGTTAAACCCAGCTCGAGCTCTCCCAAACCCATACCAATTCGCGACTTAAATTTAAGTTATTGACATGCAAATCGATTTCATCTAGGAGTCGCCACTAATCAGTTTCTAATAGGTCGATTAGACACCTAAGCGAAGCACGGGAGAAAAGCGAAGCTTCTACGAACCAGAGATTCAACAGGTACGGGGACTTGATTACACTAATCGACTAA